GCACCAAGGGCTGGATGGGATTCTCCCAGGAGCTGCAGGTCTTGGAATTTACATGAAATTCTACCTCAACTCCCATCCCTTTCATTGCCCCTGAAGATTGAGAAACTCAGCAACTGTCTTAGGTGTCCTTGACCACGGACTTGCAAGGATCCCTCCTCTGACCCCTTGGTTTGCTGAGAGGATGATAGCCATCATTCCTGTCTGTAGTTGCTGCCTCCAACATGCAATCCGACGTCACAGTCCATCACCCAAGCGGGTCCCTACACTGCCAGGCAGTGGTCATGGTTTAGGTACAAAGGACGTTTGTATGCACGTACTTCCCACATCAACCCAACCCTGAGAGGCATCTCATCCTAATCTTACAAATGAGGACTCTGAGATTCAGCGGGGCATTCAAGTCCAAGTCTCTGTACCCCAGGGAGTGCTGTCCACATGCTCCCTCATGCTCTGCTGCTTGTACACTACAGGTAGGTATAGAATGCTCACCAAGTGCATGCCCCGGTCTAAGCTCCAGGGATAGATGTGTGAATTAAATAGATGTGGTCACTCTCGTCAGGGCACTTACGATGTTGAGAAAGGGGACAAAACAAATCAGCAGGTAGTTCCCACATGGTGTACCCATGATGACAGATGTTCAGAGTTCTATGGAATACGTGGGGTTGCAGACCTGCCCAGCCCTACAGAGGAAGAGACCTCTCTGCTGCAACTGCAGGGTTAGGTAGAAATTAACCAGATGAAGAAAAACTTTCCAAGCAAAGGGAACAGCCCCAAGGTGAGCCAGTGTGACACTTGATGGTACTGAGGCCAATGGGGGGTGTGAGAAAAGATTCTGGAGAAGTCCACACCAGCCACAGCATGAAGAGTTTAATTAGCCCTGTTAAGGAATTTGGATTTTGTCCTGTGGTCCCTGGGGAGCCCTTGAAGAGTTTTAAGCTGGAGAATAATAAGATCAGGTTTGCATTTAAGAAGGCTTGCTGGCTTCATGGGAAATGGCCTGAAGGCAGGTAGCAAGAATTCGGGGAGCTATGCAAGCCATTGTCACTTTGAGGTGATGAGGTGATGGGACTGCTCCTTCTCTGAGGAATGAAGGAACGAAGCCAGGTGGAATGCTGTGAGAGATAGGGAGGACCAGGACGGGAAATGGATGTGGTGAGTGAAGATGCTAATGGAGGGAGGGGCGGGAGTACATAGGTGAGTGTCTGTCCTGGGCAGTGAGATGAGGAAAGGAAAAAGGAAGGGGAGGGGTATTCGGAAGGGTGGGAGGTGATCAGTTCCTCAGATGTGTTTGTCAGGAAATAAAGCGGGACTGGGAGGGAGATCTGGGAGCTATCTATGGGGATGACAAGTGAAGGCACTGGCATGATGGGGTGCCTGGGGAGAGGGTCACGACAAAACCCTGGCAATTCGCAGCATCTAAGGAACAGCTGCGGAAGAGGAGACTGAGAAGGAGCAGTCAGGGCGAGAGATGGCTGAGGTGACGCGGAAGCCAAGAAGGAGAAGGGTTTGCACTCTGCGGATAGCGTGCAGCATGGCGCCGGGCGCACCGTGGCTGCTGTGGGATCAGTGAAGGCTGGGTGTCACGGGAAGCCAGGCTTGTGAAAGAGCAGCCAAAGGACCGCATTACTTCTCCCTTCCAAGCCCAGGCCTTGCCCCGATGTAGAGATTTTTCTGTGCAGCGCACAGAGCCGCCTGCCAGCCCCCACATCGGAAATACCCCCAGCAACGCTGCACTTCCCGAAATGAGCCGTGCAGCCAACGACTCCCGGAGAGGAATGCCTTGGCACCAGGAGGAGAGCCTCGGGGGCACACAGGTTAAGCCACAGAGCCTTCTCCCTGGCCCTGCGCAAGGTGCAGCCTCCCTGACATAGGCCAGGGCTTTCCCCCAGTGAGCAGCAGCTGAGGATGTTGTCCAGAGGAGCCGCGTGCCCTGGCGAAAGTCAGCACAGGTTCATCTGCCTTGGACTCAGGCTGGTTCCCTGAGCCACATCATTAATGGGAATGTGCCTCTTTCAGGTCGGGAAGGAGTCATCACGAGTCTCCCCTTCCTGATGATCAGAACTTAGTCTGGGGCCGGAGCAAGGGGAAGCAGAGGGGCTGAGGGAGACGTGGGCTGGGCAGGTACGGAGATGCAGGTAGGTGAGGATGAACGTGGCAGAAATGGGGGTCACCTTCTTTCTCATCTCTCCCGCCTCCCCTGCACTCTCCCCCTTTTCTCCTCGGGGCTGAGCTTTCTTAGTCCAGAGTTTGTCTTGACAACTGGAGATCAGGAACACATGTGGGTGGGGTGGCCTGGAGCAGGGACAACTGCAGAGTGAAGGGAAAATGGTCTCATGCGGACAGGACAGCCCTCAGCCCACACCTCTTCAGTGGGAAAGTCCATTTTAGCTTGGCGCTGCGCTGCAGAGGAGAGACTGGAACAGCTCGTGGCTTCCCCCACTGGGTCTGCCAGCCCTGGCAGGGCAGCTCTTTGGAGTGGGTTCATCACAGCACGAAGCAGCTCCCTCTGCCGTGCCCTCCAGGACATGTGTGGGCACCGCCGAGGCTGGGGGCGCTCCAGCCCCAGCCCAGGCCCCCCGTTGGGGCTTCTCTGAACAGCTGCTGTGAAGACTGCCTGTTCTACCTCGCTATCTTCCCCTTTTCTTTCTCTATTCTGGTTTTCTCCATTCAGCAGCTCTGCAGCCTTGCTCTCATATCTTCTTTATTCTCAAGAATCCAAATGGGTGAGTGAACTCTGCAAGAACAGGCATTAAGAGGAGTCGTTCACTGAGAAATGAAGGATTGTCAAGCCCTGTGGAGTCCTAGGGGCTGGGGATGGACACAGGCAACAATCAGACAATTATAGTCCCCTCACTTGGCAGAACTTACAGGATGAAAATAGCCCTCATCTTCTGAGTGGCCTGGACCACACCTCAGATGCCGCCTGCCCCACAGGCAAAGGCCAGTGTGAGCCCACAGAGCCCAGCACAGAGACTTACCTGAATGTCTGCTGAACCAAATTCAGTCTGAATGGCATCAAATGGGACTGCATTTCTCTCCCAAAGGTGACAGGCCCTAGCTGAAGAGAGCACATCCATAAATCTGTCACAAGACTGAACACCCTAATAAGGGAGCTGGGGTGGAGTACCAAGAAACCTAACAGTGAGAGGAAATTTAGTCCCCTTCTTTGGAAACTTCCCATCTACAGTCACAGGCCAAGCAGCCAGACTCGGAAAATAGCGGTGACATAATTCACACTTCTCCTCCATCAAGCACAGGCCCGGCCGTCACGGCATTCTGGCCTCTGCCCACGTTGTTCCCCTGCCTGGAATGCCCTCCTCTTCCCACCTCCTCTAACAAAATCCTACACCACTAAAGAGCTTAGAGACAAAACAACATGATACCTGGGATTTACTGGGATCCAGAAAGATTTGGGGGGGTGGGGAGGGAACACGGAGAGAGGCGATCGTTAAAATCAAATTGGCCTGGTGTTGATAGTTAATGAAGCATGATGGTGGGTAGGGTTTTCTAACATGTCCTATGCATCCATAAAAGCCAGGTCACTCCTACCTTGTACATGAAGCTTTCCTGCCTACTCTCCACTCATGGACAGGCCCCTCCCTAGTCATACTCCAGTGGCTTAGCCACAGTTATCCATGGTAGCACAATGATTTGCTGTAGCCATTTATTATGGATTTGTTTCATAGCCTTTCGGTTGCCGTTTAAATTCCATGGCAGAGAGGAGAAGGGAAAGACTGACATTTCTTAAGGGCTCCCCATGTATAGGGGACCAGACTGCGTGTTTCTCACATAGGCCAGATCCTACACCGCTTTGCCAGCACAAAGTTGGGCTCTCAGCGGGCATCTCATCCATATTTGTTGGAAATATATAGGAGTCATTAAGTAAACATCAGCACAACCATCTGGCAGACTAGTAGATAGCCACCAAAGACAATGGATAAGCTTCTAATGACGTGCGGAGGGATTAGTACTGTTAAGTGAAAAATAACCAAAGCACAAAATCATATGGATGGTACAATCTTAATTCTATAAAAACGGAGTAGAAAAAAGACTGAATGAAGCTCAAAATGTGCTGATTTCTGGGGAGGGGTTATTAGGGATTTTTTTTCTCTTTTCATACTTTCAAAATGTGATTTAACATCATATACAACGGGAGTCAGTAACCTTCTTCTGTCAAGGGTCAGATAGTAAATACTTTCAGCTTTGCAGACCGCACAATCATTGTCACAACTACTCAGCTTTGCCTACATGACATGAAAGCAGGCATAGACAATGTCTAAATGAATCGCAGTGGCTATGGTCCGTTACGATTTTATTTACAGAAGTAGGTGGTGGCCTGGATGTGTCTCACGACCAGCCATAGTTGGCCAGCCTCTGACCTATTACTTTATAATCAGGAAAAAAAATGTTATTTAAGTTATAGTAAGCATGTATTCTCAACTATATCTATAGTATCTTGGTACTGTGATTAATAGAGAAGGGCAGGGTACAAAAGTCTTACAGCCATGCTTTATTCCAGTACCCTTGCATCATAAAACACTCAAAATTGCAAATCATAAATTACAGAATATGAGGATGAATATTCTGTGCTGGATAGAGAAGTAAAAGTTCACGATACCAGTAATTAATATAAATTTTAGCTCTATTTTTAAGCCCACTATATGTCATTTATTTAGATCTTCTTTTATATCTTTCCATAAAGTTTTAAATTATTTTAGAGAGTTCTCAGGAATCTATTATTTTTTTTTTAAGATTTTATTTATTTGACAGAGAGACACAGCGAGAGAGGGAACACAAGCAGGGGGAGTGGGAGAGGGAGAAGCAGGCTTCCCGCTGAGCAGGGAGCCCGATGCCAGGCCTGATCCCAGGACCCTGGGATCATGACCTGAGCCGAAGGTAGACGCTTAACAACTGAGCCACCCAGGTGCCCCAGGAATCTATTATTTTTAAAGCATAATTTGGGATTAACTGAAAACGACAAATTCTTTTTTTTCCCTCTGCAGATTTTCTGAAGCGAAGGCCCTGGGAGAAAGTATAAATGAAACAAGAAATAAAATTGGTAAGCAGATGATATTCTGTGAGCCTCTTTCACAGACCATTTTCCTGGTAAAAATCAGGTCATGATGTCCCTCCGAATAACCATGAAGCTGAGTTTCAAGACATTCCTGCCAAGGAAGCTGCTTTGAGAGCGCCTTTCCTTGGAAGTTTGTCATCTCCCCTACCATCCATCAGGCAAAGTGTTTTCTTTTGTCTAGAGCTTGAACTTTTCATCCTCATGCAGGCCTGAGCTCTAGCATCCCAATGAGAAAGTTTTGCTTTGCCGCCGGTGTTCCTCAACAATAGCTCAACTAGTCACAAAGGCAAGACTACAGTGACGTTTTGTATTTTCAAGTGCTGTGGAACACTTCTACACACACCCCCCAAAGCTTATACTTAGCATTTGGGGCACAGGTGTGCATTTTGCATTTTTCAGCACCACTCAATAAGCCAGTGGGAGGAGGAGAAGGAAAATGAGCCTCTGTGCCTTCCCAGGATGCAGGTGCCCAGCAGAGCTCCGCCACTTAGGTGAGCATGCCCGGAAAGATGAGTCTAAGGCAGGAGGCAAACTCGGTAAAAATATGCCTCATATTTTTGTCAAAGCGAGAGGAAAATGTTGCCTTCATCCCAAGCTAGAAGACACCCAGGGTGTCTCCCAGGCTGAGGCAGCTCTGCAGAGGGGCCCCTTGTGCCTTTGCCTCTTGCCAGAGAAGCTGACTTTCTGCATCTATCTCCCTTGTCCCTACCTTCCTCCTCTCATAAGTGAGGACAAGACAAAAGCCACTGTGAGTGTCCCCTTTGGCTTTTCCTACAGAATATGGAAAATTACAACAGCTTCAGGCACTCAGTCTCTAAAGAGGAGTCTCACGTTCTCCTCTGCCGCCTGAGGCAACCGGGCCCTGAGCCATGCCCAGCACCGTGCAGAGAATCTCTATAATCTCAGGGGTTCTTAACCTAAGATCTAGGAACTCGGATGGGGAGGGGGGGAAATGAGCCCTTATTTTCACCAACCTCAAACTGCAATTTAGTGTATTTTCAGTGATGAATGGAGGCAGCTGACCCCAGTAGGACTAGCAACACCTGTCATCCATGGAAATTACAGACATTTTCATTTCACAGCCCAGTGTGGCAGATATCATAAAATATCTTTTATATTCATTAGGACTTCAAAATTATGGTGGTTATCAGACTCACCATTAGATCTTATTATTTAATGCATTTATATAAAGGCATATAGATATTTCTGTATCACAAAAAGTTTTAAATTTTGGATAACTATTTCAGTATAACTGATTTCTCTTAAAATCCAATGTATTTTTCATTCTATGCCCCCCAAAAAATCATCATTCTGCGAGAGGGTCCATGGTTTCATCAGGCTGCCAAAAGGTTCCCTGGCAAAAAACAAAGATTACAAACTTCTTTCTTGACCTGGATTCCCAAACCCCTAAAACTACATGAAAAAAAAAAAAAAAGCAAAAACCTGGGTGTTAAGGGTGTGTACATTTTTCTGGAGATAATATCCATAGTTTGTCTGATTCTCAGAGGGGTCAGTGACCCAAACTAATAAGAAAATTGGTTCTAGGTCAGTGCCCCATCGTCAGTGCCAGGACTTCAGAGCTGAGGAGCAGCCCAGGCCCAGCAGCAGGACCGTGCTGGCCCACCTGGCTGGGTGGCTTAGAAGGAAGGGAGGGAGGGTAGGGGAAGCAGGCCTCAGTGCATCCAGGGCCAAGACTTGTCAGCCTTGTGAGACTCAAAGGACCCAGTGGTCTGTTTTTATCCCTGGAGGGATAAGAGGGAAAGACCTTTTATAAGCTGCTTCTCCCCACGAAGTAACATAAAGTTTTGCTCTTGAAAAATATCTCTCTCAACCAAAATAAAACCAAAGTGTTCATTCCAACACTAATGAAATAGACTCATGATGAAAGACACCAATGGCCTATACCAATATAGTTTTTCACTTGGAGTACAGGTGGTTGTCACAAATAATTCTGAATTTTTCATAGTTTTGGTGCAATATCATATGTTCATGGATCCGGTTTGCCACATTCTCAAGAGAAGGCAAGTTAGAGGCTGCCCTACAGCTCTGCAGGTTGCGCCCTGCCCAAGAGCCAGAGTCAGAGGGTGTGAGGGCTCTAATTTATCTCTCAGAGAGGATGATCTAGACACACAAAGGGTCCAGAAATGCTAGCAGAAACCCTGGGCAAGTGGACCTTTGTTTTTTCTGGATCCTGACAAGCAGAGCTCATAGCAGTATTGAGATTCAAACTAGCTACCAAGAAAGTAGCTAGTTTAGTGGTGCTAATAGTGCCAATGTCATTCTTCCTTTACTTTATGCAAAGAGCAGACTAAGATCCATCCCCTGGCCACTGGTCTTCCTAATGTGCTTTTGATCCAAGGGGGCCCAGGTAAGGTGGGTCACTGAGACTCAGCTTCATTACTGAACAAGCTTTCATGGTGCTTGACCCCAGGAAGTCGCCCACCATCACTGTATGTCAGAGACAAGGCTAAGATTAAGGAAGTATAAGGTGGAACTTGTACACACATTTAAATTTAAAATCTCCAAGGCAATCTTGAAGGAAACTGGCTTCAGGAGATTTGTGACCTAAGTGCAATTTTTCCTAGGGAGAAATTAAATCAAGTGGAATTTTCAGTCCCCAGTGAATGAAATCTTAGACTTAGTGAATCTAAGAGTCAGGAGGTGGGAGCTTGGCACAGATGTACCATCACATGTGTGGGATGGTGACTCAGCTCCACTCCCAAACTGTGCCACATCCTGCCTCTGGACCCTGAGGCGGGAATGGGATGCTGTGGAGTGCACATGGAATTGGCCTGCAGAGAGGAAATGAAAACTATATTTGTGAACTACAGATCAACCAGTCCATGTGTTTCAAGTTCAGGTTCCTTCCTGGGTAATTTGTTTTTCTCTGACATTGTGATCTAGAACTATCACTTGAGTTTCATCCTCAAAAGTTCCTAAAGGCTAGCAATTCAGTTATAACCATATAATATCTCATTTTACATGGCATAATAAGTCAACCAAAACGTCCATGTTATTTTCGCTTCTTGTAATAAGCCAACCCAAATTAGGGAGATAAACTCTTGCCACCAAGTCCTTTTCTGTCCTTCTCTGTACACCATTTACATCAATTCTGATGTCAAATCAGTTGAAATCAGAAATGGAAGAAATAGCCAATTTAGAATCTCCCCGAAAAAAGTAGAGTCTTTGTTTCTGTCGGAGAGGCGTTTCGTTGTATTTACATGTCCCATGCACAAAAGCATTAGACTGCTTTTCATCATGTGGGCTGTGTATTTGACACATTCACATATGCCCTGCTTCCATTCATCATATCTCTAAAAATGCCATTGAGACCACACTGGGGGGGAAAGAAATAGACTGCATCAACCAGACCACTTTTTACTTGCTAGAATTCTGGCATTTCTTCTTCTACATCAGTGTTCTACCCCTGGCAGCATTGTCTTTGGCAACAAGGAACAATGAAGGGCTGTCCTTTGGCATAAGGCCCACCCCTAGACCAGTGCAGGAGCCAGCTGCTTTGGAGGCAGGGGAAAGAGCTTGACTGGCACCTCTTCATCCTCCACCGACCCCTCCAGGCCTAAATGAAAACAAACATCACAGGATGCCACACAGAAGGGTTTTCACCAGTGGGCCAATCAGTGATCAATTCACAAGTCACAGGAAATGTAATAGCAGTAGCTGTTAGCGGGAGGTGAAGGGAAACACCAAATGCTAGAAAGCTAACAAAACACTATGGAAGTTTCTTTCTCCTACTCCACATTCAAAGGACCCCAGCCACCCCTCCCCCCATTTGAACAACACTCTTTAATAAAATGTTTCTCTTACATATTTGGGCATTGGGAAAATCATTTCTCAGATCCAGGTCTCCATCAGCAGGGTAAATAGGACGATTTTCAGTTGTGTGCTTTTCTGTACTTGGATCTTCCCTTGAGGTTTGCTTCTGGACCTGTTGGTGCATGATGGCTTCTAGTAGCTTATCCGGGAGTAGGGGAAAGATGACATCCAGGTCATTTCGCTGGATCATGAAGACCTGAATTAAGTATATCTTTTGTTACTCTTTGTCACTAGTCCCAGTTAACAACCACCCCAACAACAGTTTCTACCATGTATTAAGCACTGACTGTGCCGTGCCAAACCTTGACATACGCTATCTCATTTAATCCTCTCAAAGAAGAGCCATGACCTATAGGGGGGCAAGAGTATTACCTTATGTTGTATATTCTAGATCACAATTTTTAGTCTTAACACTTCTGAAATCAAGATACATTTGGCCATTTTTTCACCTTTTACAAACCTCTGGAATGAAAATGAGTCTTACCATTGACATAATCTAGGTTCTGTGAAATAGGAATTATCTTTATTTTGCAGATTTAAAAAAATGGAGTTTCAGTGAAGTTGCCTGCTGTGTGACTAAGTCGGAATCAAATTCCATTTCTGTCCAACTGCAGAACTTTTAAATACAGTTTATGATCTCCATAAATTCAGATTTATCTGACTTTGACATTTTCTTCTGAGTTTAAAATTTCACTCAGCTGTTACTCAGGTCTCCTGAATCTTTGGCCTTTATCCAGTGTACCCAACAAAAGACTCAAACTACACCCTAGCTCATGCACACACAGCTCAAGAAGATGAAAAGGGTCTTTGTAACATGATTAACGATAGGTTGTCTTGTGCCTTTTGGGGCTCTGTTGCAGGGGCGGGTGGCGCCTGAAACACAGCCTGCCCTTGCTCTCATTTCCATGTGCTCCAGTCCTGGCTTGTGTCTGCCCTTAGGAAGGGATGACTTTTTCTGGTTTGCAGAAAGATATGCTATGGCCTTGCAACAGCCCTGGTAGGAGTCAGTGTCCCATACGGGTTTCAACCATCCTCTTCAGTGGTTTGGAAAATAGAATAGCGAGGTTGTATTTTCAGGCTCCATACAATTCCAGCTGAGTGGGTTTAGTGATGCTTCAGGAAACATGAGTGAATCCAAAGCATTAACTTAG